GTGCCCAAACAGCGACCCTGCCCTTCGGCGTCGGCGAGGTTCCCCCAGGCTTGTTACCAGTGACTAGGCCCCTTTCTGTTTTGTGTGCTGAGGGCTGCTCAAGGGTGAGTGGGCAGCCCCTTCCTCTTCCCCTTTCCTAGGTCCATCTCCCCCGCCGGCTAGGAAAGCACACCTCTCCTCATGGTCCAGAAGCTTTCCTGAGGGCAGGGTTGAACTGAAGTTTCCATGACTCTCACACCTCCAAGTTAGAGCGTATAGAGGCTGTGTAGTGAGCAAGCAGAGGCCTTCACAGAGAGTGAACTGAAGCCATGGTGACCACATCCTGATCATGTGCCAACACTGGTCTACTCCTGCCTACTGTGCTGCAGAAGAAACAGGCTCCTACCAGTGTCATGAGCAGCCCTATCTGTCAGGAATGACTGTAAATAAGAAAAAGCTCAAAATGCATGGGACCCTGGATAGCCAGGGGACTGCAGTGACAATACTGTGTAGTAAGGAGAGCTCAAAGTGGAAGTCTCTGAGCCATGAGCCTAAATCAACCTTCCTTTACCTTCCTTTTATCTGGGGTGATTTTTACAGTAATGGAAACTTCATGAATACAACCTCAGGTCTAGTGTGGAGGTCATCAAAGTCACCAGGCTCTTGTCAGTTCCAGAGCTGCATCAAAAAACACAAGTTCCTCAGAAGGCAGAGAAGGGTCTTACTCTAGTGTGGCCACAGTGTGATCTCTCAGCTCTTGGTTCTCTTGGCACTGTCTGGGGCATTTGATGATGCAGGACCTTCATGCGGGACCCAGGATAATGTCACTGGCTCCCAGACTCTCTGGCCTGGGAAACTGTTTTATTATAAGCCCTTAATCTCTTTTCCTCAGCTCCACCGTGACCACCTGAACAGACAGGAAAAGTAGTGGCCTGGCAAGGATCTAAGCACTGAAGATGTAGAGTTGATGAACCATGGGAGGTAACTATTATATGGAATGCACAGAAGGTCTCAGATTCAACATTATCAAAAACATGCTAGATGCTGACTGAAGGCATAACAGAAAGAGAAAGACCCCAATGTGCAGCACAGTCTGGAGCCTCTTATTCAACAGAACAGCACTTTCCACTGTGACCCCTCGATTCCAGGGCACAGTGAAGTACAGCATGCCCTCTTAGCCAATAGGCCTGGGTCATGAGGAACAGCCTGGAAATGTCACTGAGAGGTAATTAATGGGATTGTCCCTCATATCTCCAGGATAAATTCCCAACATTGGAAAGGGGATCTGATCTGATGGGGAAGAGCAGCTTTATCTGAGACACTATGTGGTTGTTTATCTACAATAACATGACTGAAGGCATAACAGAAAGAGAAAGACCCCAATGTGCAGCACAGTCTGGAGCCTCTTATTCAACAGAACAGCACTTTCCACTGTGACCCCTCGATTCCAGGGCACAGTGAAGTACAGCATGCCCTCTTAGCCAATAGGCCTGGGTCATGAGGAACAGCCTGGAAATGTCACTGAGAGGTAATTAATGGGATTGTCCCTCATATCTCCAGGATAAATCCCCAACATTGGGAAGGGGATCTGATCTGATGGGGAAGAGCAGCTTTATCTTAGACACTATGTGGTTGTTTATCTACAATAACGAAATACTTGAGCTCAGGGTAGAAGGAGGAACAGCCTATGATGGATGTTTACTCCACAGTCCCTGGTCATGATAGACTGGTGAGAAAGTTTGCACCTGCTGATTCCCATAGTGCTAGTAATTAAGGGATAGTGGCACATTGGTAGACCTCTCATTTTGAAACCAATAAATCATCTGAATCTACAGTCCCTGAGAGAAGGACAGGAAATCACTCACTGCCCTAAACAACCAAAGACAAAAGTTCTGTGTGCCTGCCAGGGGACGAGTCACACAAAAACCCAGAGGCACTGATGCTTGTGTAGAGGATGGGTGTGACTAAGCTCACAGCACTGAGTACAGGTCCAATTGGTTCTCAAGGAATATTCCACCATGTACTCTCAAACGGGAGACAAGTACCTGTGCAGTTAATAGGAAAGAAATATGATGACTATGTAACATACTGGGCATGCAGGTCACAGGAAGGCATCAGATGCTGAGGCTGGGGTGCTCCTGCCCTGACAGAGTGTGGGCATGCCACCTTAGATGTGCTTGTAATGAGCCGGGCTTGATGGCACACACCTTTAATCGCAGCACTCTGGAGGCAAGAGGCAGGCAGATCTCCCTGAGATCAAGGCCAGTCCGGTGTACGTAGTGAGTTCCAGGCCAGCTGGGGTTACAGGAAGACCTTGTCTCAAGAAATGGAAAAGAAAGGAAAAGAAAATCAAGCATAGGATCAACTCTGCAGGGTGAACATTTGCTTTTATTGTTATTGTTCTTCTGCATGTGCTCACATATTTGCATGTTTTTATACAGGGGCTGATACAACCCAGACTGACTTGGGAGTTATCAAGAATGATCTTTATCTTTTGATTCTCCTTTCTCCACCTCCTGAGTGTGAGGATCACAGGCAGGAACAACAGCACTAGACTGATGCAGTGATGAGGATCATGTATAGGACTCTGTACATGCCAGACAAACACTCTCCAGCTGAGCTACATATCAAACACTAGGGGCCTTTTTATGATAAAATAAATGTACTTTGAAATGAAATAAATAGACCTAGAAAATATAGATCTAGAAGATCTATATTGATACTGACAGTTAGTGATATTCTTTGGATTCATAGAATTCATGTCTCAGGAACAAGAGGGGAGAATACTAAGTAACCCCATCCCAGTCTCCATAAGAGACATAGGAAGTGTGGGTGTCCTCTACCTGCCCTGCGAGGAGATGCTGGATTGGAAAACCTTCCTAGAGTGGCGACTCAGGCCAGTGAACATAAGGAAATGGCCTAGAGGAAATTCACGATGCCCACGTTTCCACGTGGGTGATTCACAGCACAGCATTGGGTGAGAAAAATATTATATTATTCTGTTATGTACAGTTTTCATTAACGATCATGAGGCTCGGGGGCAGGTGAACCACTAGCTTAGATAACTTCCCAGAGTTCTGTCAGAGGCTCCACAGCTGGAGATAGCAGTGATTGGGTGTGTGAGTTGAGCTCTTCAACCCCAACCCAAGTGTGTTCAAGTTACGACCCCTGGTTCCTGTGACTGTGAGCTCACACCACACATAAAGACAGAAAGACAGGAATGGCAGTTTGCTTTTCATTAGAAACCATAAAATAATAAATAATGTGATTAGCATTTCACAGTAACAGAAACAATATCCCCATCTTGAATTCTACAACATGAGAAACGCTATTAAATTTTGACAAGATTCATGGGTAGAAGTTTTGTTCCAAAACTATTATTATTATTTAAAAATGTTTGATACTGAATAAAACTTGAATTTTCATAAGACTTTGGGTAAAAACCCAGCGTTCTGAAGACAAAATAGGCATCCCATGAGCAAATCTGAAAATCATGAAGACATTCACACCCACATCACACTCCCCAACATTACAGGCAAACAGTGACTGTGATGGAGAGACAGACAACACATCAATAACAAATCCCTCTCCTGGATTTAATACTGAACACAACATCCAGACAGGCCATCAGTAAAACAGTGGACCTGAGCAACACTGGAGACCAAATGACGTCACAGATCTGCAGGATCCTCAACAGTGTGCAGAGCACACATCCTCTCAGACACACCCAGAACACACTTTGAGTCACAATACCTGTCTCCACAAGGTTATGAAGATGGAAATCATATCATGTATCAGTCCAGACCAAATGGTGTGAAATTAGAAAAGAATAGAAAATGGAAAGCAAATAAAGCTCACAAACACGTTGGAATTAGGCAACACATATTTAAAAATTTACTTATTTATTTTATGTGCATGAATGTTTTCCTTGTGTGGAGGTGCACCTGTCATGCAATACCCATGGAGACCAGAAGAGCATTTCAGATCCCTGGACCAGAGTAACAGATGGATGTCAGCTACTATGTAGGTGCTGGGAACTGAATCTGGGTCATCTGCGAGAGCAGCCAGTGCTTTTATTCCATGAACCAACATTTCAGCCCTCTAAGTAACATATTTTAACATTTCATCATCTAGGAACTCACAAAGCAAGTTTAAATTGTCTCCAGACAGCACATGGTTTGTTCCTGTGTTGGTCCCTGTGACTGTGACCTCTCGTCCTATATAAAGGAAGAAAGACAGGAAAGCAGTTTGCTTTTCATTAACACATTGAAAACACAACATATTGAATCTTACGGGATGAAGCTGGTGGTGTGGCCCACTGGCAAATACCTGTTATTGCTAGAGGCCCTGTGCTTAATCTCCACTACCAAACATACCACCATCTCTTTCAGTAAACAATGGAAACACTGAAGAAAGTCTGTAGTGACAAGTGAGCACATTTAACAAAGGGACAAATACCTGAGCATTGTGTGCGTGTCTGCATTCTACACTTGGAAGATTGAGGCGTGAGGGTTATGAGTTTGAGTGCAGCCTGGCCTACAAGGTACTACCAGTTCTCACAAATGGAAAAGGAAGAATATTGTCAACATGACACAATATTATTGTAAATGTTAAAGTTTAGAAAACAGAACAAAGCAAGCACCCACTAAATATAAGTATTTATTATTATGTCCCCTCTATTTCCTCCTCTAGACTGACAAAGATGCTCTATTAGTTAGGACTCACCTGACTAGTTAATTTCAGGGTCTTCATTCCCTTCAGAGCATCTCCCCTCCCTTGCCTCTGATCCTCCATAGGGAAGGTACAGGTACAGGTAGGTAGGCATCTGTAAATTCGAGGCCAGCCTGATCTACCTAGCGAGTTTCAGGTCACCAAGAGCTACAATGATGGATTCTGTCTGTGAAAGACAGATGAGTGAGTGTCAAGGATCCAGACAACCAAGTCACTGAAGAAAGAGCCAGTCCCCTCTGAAGGAAAATTCCACTTCCTGTGTGTCTGCGGAAATGACGCTCTCATGACAGGACAGACGACCAAACCTCTAAAGGCCATAACCTATGCGGCTGTCCATCCTACAAGGCACTGTCGCCAAACCTCTGCAAAGCTACAGCCAGAAGGAAAGAAGGCCATGACCCCCACCTTCACAGCCCTCCTCTGCCTTGGTGAGACATGGCAAGGGGGAAGGACCACCCTTGGCTGGGAAGGACCCTGAGGAACAGCTGGACCTTGTTCCACCCGGACTTCTCAGGGACTCTGAGACACTGTGGAGAGGAGGACCTGCTCAGGCTTCAGGGCAAACCTCTCACAGAAAACTCTCTTCCAGGACTGAGTTTGGGCCTCAGGACCCCAGTGCTGGCAGGTGAGTGTGTCCCCAGCTGTCACAGGTAAGTCCTCCTCACTGAGGACAAGGGGTCACCTGTGGGCATTGGAGACAGAGAGCAGCAGGTGTGGTTGATACTGGGGAAACTGAGGAGGGTCCCTGGGCTGAGAGATAAGACCTGAGGGACAGTGTCCTGTGACGCATCCTCTGATTTTCTTACAGGGACTCTCCCCAAGCCCACGATTAGGGCTGAGTCAGGCTCTGTTGTCCCCAAAGGGACCCAGGTGACCATCTCATGTGAAGGGACCACAGGAGCTGTGGAATACCGTCTCCATGGATTTGGAGAAAGAGATCCCTGGCAACGACAGACCCCACTGCACCCTGGGAACAAGGCCCACTTCCTCATCCCATTCACTGAATGGCAGCATGCAACTAGATATTTCTGTTACTACCGCACCCCTGCTGGCTGGTCTAAGCACAGTGACTCCCTGGAGCTGGTGGTGACAGGTGAGATGACACTCAGGGCTCAAACGCTAGGCTTTACTCTCAGGAAAGGGGTCTGCTATCAGAGATGTCCTCCCTCACAGCCTATCCACGAAGACAGTGTGGACTACGTCAGCCGTTTTGTACTTTGCCTCTTCTCCTAGGAACATATATGAGAAAACTTTGCCTCATAGGCCAGCAGAGTGCCACAGTAGCCTCAGGAGGGGTCACTATCCTCCAGTGTGTCATAGGGATGCAATAAGAGATTCAATCTGAATAAGGAGGGACCACAGGAGCTCTCCTGGACCAGGAATGGCCTGACATGGGCTTCCATGGGAGGCCCTCTTCTGTGGTGGGTGAGGGGAGGCAGGGCTCCTGATACCACTGACTCTGACTATGGGACACGGTGGCCCCAAGACACGGATTCCAAGGTGGAAAGTGAGAATAAAACCCAGGAGTCCAAGATAGGGATCTGTCTCCCATGGCTTTCCTGGTCCTACTACAATTCAGGAACCAGTTTAAGTGTCATCTCTAAGTGTGAGCTTCACTGTGTCACCATTCAAACAGACCCCTCCTCCTCACCTGACTCCTTGCAGGGACCCTCCAAAAACCTACCATCTGGGCTGACCCATGCTCTGTGGTCACCATAGAGTGACATGTTCTGCATAAAGAGGGAATCCTAGTACCCTGGAGCACACAGATTCCACTGGAGCCCAGGAACTAAGCTGTTCTCAATCCCATATGTGATAGAGGAGTCCACAGTGTTATATTGTTATTACTATTATAGCCCTGAAGAGTACAATGTGTAGTGACACACCGAAGCTGATGATCATAGGTGAGGGGACAGTTAGGCATTCCCATCTCTAGACCATACCCTCAGGAAAAGGGGTCTGATCTCATAGTGCCTCTTCTCACAATCCAGGCCAGGGAACAATGGGAGAGGTGTGAGTTCATTAGCACTGCCTTCTTCTGTCCTAGGAATCTACAACAGTAAACCATGCCTGTCAGCTCTGCCCAGCCCTGTGGTGTCCCCAGGAGAGAACCTGACGCTCCATTGTGTCTCACAACAAGGATATGACAGATTCATTGTAACTGAGGAAGGAGAACAGAATCACTCGATGTCCCTGGACTCACAGCATGTATCCATTACGAAATTCCAGGCTCTGTTCCCTGTGGGTCCTGTGACCTCCAGCAGCAAGAGAACCTTCAGATGTTATGGCTATTACAAGAGAGACCCACAGATGTGGTCAGAACCCAGTGACCCCCTGGAAATATACGTCTCAGGTAAGGAAGCCCCATCATTCATGGAATCATATTTAGGCCCTAAGATCTTTGCCATGAGCCCCATTAATCTCTGGGGAATACCAGGTAGGAAGTACTTGAAGGGACCTATTTGCTCCTGACCAAGAGTCCCACAGAGAGACCATAATGCCTGCAGGGCAGGGTGGGAGGGGCCATATATACTGCAAGAACTAGATACTTAGCCAACATTCCATCTGTCCTCCAGAGCTATCCTAGAAGCCCTTCCTGACACCCATCCAGGAATTATTTTGACCCCAGAGAGATTCTGAACCTCCAGTACAATTCTGACATCAGCTACAACAGATTTTCTCTGTTCAAAGAGAAGGAATCTGTCCTCCTCCAAAGTCCAGGCTGAGAGCCCCAAGCTTGTGTTTTTCAGGCCAGCTTCCCACTTGCCCATCTGAGGGCTTCCACTGGAGGCTGGCACAGGTGCACAGCTTCTCCTCCCAGTGGGTAGTCCCCAGTGATGCCCTGGACATAATGATCACAGGTAAAGGTCCAAGTGAATTCAGTCAAGAATCCAGGATCTTCACAGACCTTGCAAGGAGAGCCCAGGGATTGAGGCTAGGGTGAAGGTTGGGGGTATAAAGGAGGAACAGAAGCAAGACAGGGGAGAAGGGAAGGGGCAGAATCACAGAAACCAGACACAGAGACCCATATCCTCAGATTCAGGCTGCAGTAATGTCTCAGCTAAGAAGAAAACACTCAGTCCCTCACCTGTCCTTCTCCCTAGGACAGCTCCATCTCACACCCTCCCTCTCAGTATAGCCACGCCCCAAAGTGTCCTCAGGAGAGAATGTGACCCTCCTGTGTCAGTCCTGGAGTCAGATGGACACTGTCCTTCTGACCAAGGAAGTGGTAGTCAATTCCACCCTGTCTTAGCTCCAGTTCTCACACTGGGAAGTGCTGGGAAGACTTCTCCAGGAGCCCTGTGACCTTATCCACTGTTGGGACTTAGAGGTGGGATGGTTTTCAAGGCTCATCCCCTGCCTGTTGTCATGTACCATTGCCCCTGTGGAGAGCTGGAGACCAACAGGAGACCTTCCTGGAATACCTGCCCCAGTCCTTCCTTAAAATCTAGGTTCCAGCTGGGTAGCAGGAGGTTCTTGAGGAGGCCACAGGGCAGATGTAAGAGACTGAAAGCAGCTGTGTGTCCCTGTCAGATTCTGCCTCTGACCTTCCTCTTGTCCTCTTTCCCATGATCCTCTGTAGGCAACAGCACCCCACCCACCGGGCCCATCCTAACAGCTGGTAAGTATCAGGGGCTTCTGTTCAGGGACTTTGCTCTATCCCTGAGTTGCCTGCAGACCTCATCCCATGTAAGACCTGGTTCCTGTGCCAGATAAACTTGTGTCCATAAGCCCAAAGATCAGACAGAGATGGGAACAGAGAACCCAGAATTCTAGTCTTTGAGGTTGGGCTGCAGGAGTGCACGTACCAGCAAACAAAGGTGTTTGGTCTCAGGTTCAGAGAGGAGCAGCTGGGATGGGGAGAGAGTGGGGAGCCCAGACCCTCACCTTCCCATCCCACCATGAAAACGTGAGAAGCAGCTGCTCACATCCATGGAGTCAGTTTCCTAGAATGGTAAAAGAAAACTGTAGGAAGGTGGGTTCAGGGGAACCACATGTAGTTTGGGGTTGGTGTAGTCTCTTCTGGGGATGCTGCATATGACAAACCTCTCCCCTGAGTGGGTCTTGGTTTCTCCAAGTATGAATGACAGAGGCCCTCACCCTGACCTCACAGTTCCTTTCAGGGCTGACCTAGGCTGTGAACTCTCCTAGCAGACGAGGCCTCCACTGCAGTGGACCTCTAACCTTTGCCACAGTGATGCTGACATTGTGTGAGGGTTGTTCACAGGGCCAAGGCAGGACATTCAGGCTCCTTCCCTGCAGGGTCTCAGCTCTTGTGGAGAACAAGGCTAGAATTCAGATTCCCTAGATTCAACCCACCTCTGCCTCTTCCAACTGGGTCACCTGGGGCAGGTGAACTGGCTGGGAGCAGAGCTCATCTCATTTTGCATGATCCTGAGGCTAGGAAGTGCTGAATGTAAAGTCCCAGCGTGTGCCTGGCACACATTAGGTGCTCAAGTCAGCTAACACTGCTCCTAACACATGAAGTCACTTGTGTCACAGGACTGGGAAGTTACCAGACAATTCTGATTGGGGCCTCAGTGGTCTTCTTCCTGCTCTTCCTCCTCATCTTCCATCTCCTCCGATGGAGGTATCAGGGCAAATGCAGGACAGAAGGTGAGTAGGATGTGGGTGACCTGGTTCTCAGGAGGTGGAGGGCTCCCCTGTGGACCATACAAGCATGGGCTCAGGGAAATTAGCCAAACCAGAGCAACTCAGCTTAGAAATGCTTCCTCAGAATGTCAGATCAGAAACATGTTATCTCAGTACCAGTGCAAAGGTCTGGTATTCTGGGAGCTGTTCATCTGAAACATTTGCACACTTACTCCATATGGTGTAAAGTTCCCTTTCTTCCCCGCAGGTTCTGGGAGCAGGGTTTCCCACCCCTGGCTGAGACTTCTTTCTCTTTCAGTACAGAGTGAAATCACTGACATACAGCTTCCTGAAGTCCCTGAGGAGCCAGTGCCCAGGGAGAGAGGTCCTCAAAAGAGGTAACTCAAGCCGAGTAACCCAGATTCCAACTTGTCTCCCACTTCTCACCACCAACTCACACCCCTTTGTGCCCTCAGATCCTGCCCAGCTACTGCCATCAAGAAAGAAATCCCATGTGAGAGAAGGGGGCCCTGGGGAAGGGGACACCTGAGGTCTTGGCAACACAGGGGTGGAGGGAGGGCCTGTGGTCAGGCCTCTGTGGGACTGAATTCTCACTGTGGACTGGGGCATCACCATGCTTCCTGGCTCTGTCCCTGTGTGGGGCAGCAGAGGGATCTAAGGACCTGAGCCATCCCAGGACTCTGGCCAGGAGACAACTCCCTTGTTCTTCTACATCAGATGCTTCTGTGAAGATCCAACAGCCAAAGAGCAGTGTGGAGAAGGACAGTCTGGTGAGACCCTGTCCCAGTTGACAGTGCTGTAGTCCTTCTGGCCCAATTTGGTCCAGGGTCCTTCTCTGTCCTCCCCTCTCTCAGCCTTCAGCCAATCTACCACTGATATCCTCCTTCCAGAAGTACCTACCACTTTCTACTAGGACCTCACTCCATGTTGGTTTTCCTGAGACCACGTGGCCCTTCTCTATTTCTTTGGCTCCTCAACATATGTCTGGCTGTTACCATGTTCCCAGTGTCTCAGAAGGACACCCAAGGGGCTGCAGCTACAGCTCAGTGGTGGAGGGATTATCTACCATATAAAAGTTACTGGGTTTGATATCCTGCACTGAGAACAGAAACAGTAGGACAAATGAATAAGTTAGACCCCGTGAACCTGCCCCAGCCACACACAGGGGCTCCCTTTTTTTCTATGCCTTTCTTTACATATGTAATTGTGTTGTTGTGCACATGTGTGGAGGGCCAGGATTGGCACTGGGTGATTTTCTCAATCTTCTCCACCTTAGTTTTTGAGACAGATTTCCCACTGAACCTAGAGCTTGGTGATTTGGCTAGACTGCCTGGTCAGCAAGTCTCAGGGATCCTCTGTCTTTCCCTCTCCAGTGCTGGGATCACAGCCTTGCCTAATTATTACAAGGCAGGGTGCTGGGGATCAAATTCCAGTCCTTATTCTTGTCTGCAAGCATTGTACTGGCTGAGCCATCGCCCAGACCCTGGAGCTCCCTCTGGACCAGGCTTCCTGTAGGGGCTGCAGATGCTGCAGGGAACCAAGCTCTCCATCCATGGGGACAACTGCAAGGGGAGGGGACAACGAGCTAACAATGCAGAGTGGGAGTAGTGCCATGTACTTCAGGCAAATGGAGTAGAGAAAGTGAAGGAGAGCAGACAGGGCCAGTGTGAATCCCCAGGGCTCTGACAGATGTCATCTCAGATAGACTCTAATGAACCAGCTCCTTCAGGCAGGGGACACTGAAAGCAAGTAATTCCTGGGCAGGAGCAGGCTCTCTCAGGAAGCTGGGTTGTGTTATTGGAGATCAGACTTGAAGGAAGGGAGCTGCCAGATACCTCAGGTCCTCAGGAAGCCCCTGAAGACCCATTAGGAATGCTCTGGTCTGATTTAAATGTCTACAGGAGTACTCTGGTCATCCTGTAGAACTGGACTGGCCAATCATCAGGGGAACCTAGAGATACTGTCTCACTCTCTCCCTTCTGCAGAACTCACCTGATGAAAACCTCCTGATAGAGATGTACACCCAGGTGAAACCCTTCAGGCTCAGGAGGGCAGGGGCCACCTCTCCTCCTTCTACCTTGTCAAGGGAATTACTGAGCTCAAAGAACAGGGAGTCAGAAGAAGATAGAGAGATGGACAGGGAGGTTAGTCTTGTCCTCCACAGGCCCCGGGCTCCCAAATCCAGGCCAAGCATTTAACTTCTTCTCACCCTCTCTGACCCCAGGCTTCTGTGTCTGAGGGTCCCCAGGATATGTCCTACGCCCACTTGTGCATCATCACACCAGGAAAGGCACAGTTGAGTCTTCTGCCTCCCAATCCGAGAAGCCCAAGTTGAGGCCAGGGAGCCCCCTGCTCTGCTGTCCACCATCCCAGGAAGACACTGACCCCACACACCATGGAGAGTCACTCAAGGACATCTAAGAGACAGGTTCTTCCCTGATTGGACAGCCATCTTGCAGAACCCACCTGTCTCCAGGAGATTCTGGGAATTTTGTGGACTTACTTGATTTTTCAGTAGAGATACTATTATTTCTACATTTTGTAAATAAAGCCAAAGTCTTGTCAATAATCATTGAATGAAGGGAGAAAAAGAAAACTGAGTTAAGAGAAGGCTTTTTAACATGAGTGTATTGTCAATCATTCTTCAATAAAGCTGAAAACTGAATGATGAGAAAATGTGGCACATCTATCCATGAAATGGAAAGTCGGAACCATAAGTAAATGTATACGTGTAGGAAACCATCAGGAGGCTGAGACTGTGGAATCACAAGTTCTAGGCTAACCTGGGCTACACAGTGTTCAAGGACAGCCTGTGGGACTTTGAAGACCATCTCAAAATTAAAATCAAAAGGCACCTGCAGACATACCTCAGTGCTTCAGTGCTTGAACACTTGCCTGGAACATGAATAACTAATCTGTATGGAGACAGAGTCAGAGCAAGAAAGAGAGATAGAGAGAGCGAGAGAGAGCAAGAGAGAGAGAGTGAGAGAGAGAGAAGCTCTATTAAATGCAAGCACTAATGCTTTATGTGGACACAGCCAGAACTGTTATCACTGGATCATATACCAGCTCTGATGTGTAATTTTCAAGAACATCTACACAGACTTCTATCCTGGCTGGGAACATTTTAATTTATTAAAGAGAAATAGCACACAAGCATTCTTTTTCCTCACATTCATAACAGCATTTCTCTTTGTTGCATTTCATAGTTTAAAAAAGAGGGATTTTCTAGACCTCTAGAATGCCACAACATGTTCCGTTGGGGATAAAATTGCACAATAAATGTCAAGTATCTGGTGAAAAACCAGATACTGAACATGGTTCATATTCAACAACTTCCTGCTGCCCTCTCTGTCCTCACACACTTGTACCATATGCTGGTCCCCTCCCTCCACACTAATAATCCCCTTTCCTCTGATATCATGAACATGCACACTTCATTCTAGAATGTGCATAGGAGAGATATGGAACGTTTGTCTTTAATTATCTGTTATACCTTCCAGTTTCTCCTCCTGTAAGTCTCTCCATCCTCATCACAAGTAGTTCTACTGGACTTTCATACCATATATACGTACTATATTAATCTTGGTTATTTCTATGAGAAAATATATATCAGTTTTCATTTCCCCTATGAATACAAGCACCTCTACACAGTCCCCCTTCACTCTCGCTGGTGAAGAAATGGTCAAAAAAAATAGCACAAATCAGGACCTGTTTGAAGAAAATTACTTTTTCAACGTCAAGTCCACAGTGTCCTAATAGAGTTCCCCAAACACCAGTGTATTCATGTCACCTTTACATTTCAGAAGAAACCGTGGAAAGACTGTGCATTGAAGGCTGAAATAGCTGAGGAACCCAGAGACCTTGGGGGTACCATTATCATTAAGGTATTTTTTAGTCTGGAGTCTGATTTTCTGCTTATCATATTATCATTTCATTATTTAGCCAAATTCTTTGTTCATATAAAAATTATGGAGGTTTGTTTAAAATAATGGAAACATTTACACAAAATGATGGAAAACTGAAGATCACAGAGTTGAGGCTGCAATCCTGGCTGATGGGACAGGATTTTTACTCTAGTCATGGACTGGGGAGAGAGGAGCATGTTCAGCAAATGTCCACAAGGAGAGCAGAGTAAAGAAAGTTTACTTTCAGAAGGAAGAGCTCTTTCCTCAACACTCTGAACATATTTACTCCTGGGACATTCTCTTACAACAGTTGCCAACATAAGTTTGAGATCTTTTTTTAACAGAAACTCGGGATCCTACGATTGATTTCCCAGGCTCAGCTATTGTGAAAGGTGCACTGCTGTCTCTTCTGTTTACTCCCAGAAGCCTCAGGGATCCTTCTCTGGCTGTGCTGAGAATCAAAGAGCAGAATCCTGAGGATGGGCAAGGACCAAGCCAGCCACGCTCATCCTGATGAGATTCTCCACTGTGTTATTCTGGGACTGTGAGGCTGTGGTATGGACAGAGAGTCACAGGGCTCAGACCAGACTAAAGTCAGCAGAGGTGACTGATATTCACCCAGGCACCGGCCTCCCCTTCATATCTCAAAAATATCCTGACTCACCTGTCTTGGGTTTGGACATGTCTTTGGATGGACTCATGTGGTCAGTTGATTCTAAGAATAGAGGAGTGGAATGTTTTAAACGGCGAAGAGACATCATTGTTTCCTTTGTATCCCACATGATTTTTATACAAGTTTATTTTCTGTAAATTTACATCAGTCTCATCATGAGTCTTTATGATGATTTGGCATGAACCTTTCACCAACTGTAGTAGGATTCCCTCTGATCCTCTGATCTTATTAGATACTTCGGTCCTACTGTTCTCAAGTTCAAAACTTGTATCTGAGTCAACTGAGAACAAAGTTCATCTGAATCCCAAGAGCTCAGTATTAGGGAGCAAAGTCACCTGTCGGTTCAGAGCTAAGGAAGTCTCCTGTGCTCCCTGCTCAGTCAGGGCTACAAGAGCATGTACGCTAATCCTCCTGATGGGTCTCTACTGATTTGCCAGCTGAGGACCCAGAGTTGAGGGCAGAGCATTAGGGGCTTTGAATGTCAGAAGCTCCAAGTTGTGATAGCCTGGAGCTGCCTCCCTGTACCCACCATTACTAGTTCCCTGGGTGTTTCGCTTCTATTTAATAGCTCATAAACTAATCATCACATTGTTAGAAACGTCTGCTCTGAAGCCTACAAAGACTTGCACATATAAACTGCACACATCCATGAATGAATGTTTTAGTGTGTGATGTACATATACACAGAGCAGCAATAATAAGCATCCAAAATCATACAAGTCATGTACTATCATTGGGGATGATTATATGTAAATATGAACACATGTATTAATGCAGTAGGGCTATTTCCTCCCTGGGGACACTGTGGGGCCTGGCTGTACTGACAGTGAGGGTCTGACATGGATCCTGGGAATGAAGGCCCGAGGACAGTGAGGGGCAGAGGCCGGCACTGGGGACCTGTGTCTGCTCACTCTTCTAACTCTGCTCGGTGGCCTCCACCAGACACTACTGCTGCCCACCTGGAGCTTTCTGGAATCCAATGTATGAAGGTTGAATATTCTTTCGCTGGTCCTCCCTAGCATCTCTAACTCCTATAGCAGTCATAAAAACTTCTAAATGCAGGGTTCTGAGTGACCTTTTCAGCCCCAAGAGCCCAGTCATCTTACTTGAAAACAGGGGCTCCATTAGGGCACTGGGGTGTGACAACAGATAGGGGTTGAGCCTTAAGAGCCATAGCACCTGCAGGTCCCCCTGAGGGCTGAGGTCACAGCTCTTATGGAGAATTCTGCCCAGTTCTTCCCAGCTTGGGACCTTGACTTGAGATGTAGTGGGCGACTTGCTGCTCCTTCCATAATCTGAAGTAACATGTTTATCTGGCTCCATGACAGTCACAGCAGGGTACATTTACTCACTTGAGGACAGTGTGGGTACCAGCTTCACAGAGAGAGAGAGGCTGTGACAGGGAGCTGTCCTAGACAGAAGAAGGATGGGTGAGGGACTGCTCTCTTTCTTCTGAGCTGAGACCACACTAAAGCCTGACTCTGAGGATCTGGGACTCTCTCTGGTTTCTCTGATTCTGCACTGACACTGTTACCCTGTCTTCCCTAACACCACCAATCTTCAACCCAGACATCAATCCTGGGATTCCCCTGTAGATTCTGTGGAGTTTGTGGTTATCCACTTGACCACCTCTGCTCTTGACACTCTCTCTGGTTTCTCTGATTCTGCACTGACACTGTTACCCTGTCTTCCCTTACACCACCAATCTTCAACCCAGACATCAATCCCTGGGATTCCCCTGTAGATTCTGTGGAGTTTGTGGTTATCCACTGGACCGCCTCTGCTCTCGATGTGCGATTGAAATGTCCAGAGTTCACTGGGCATTGACCAGTCAGAGGAGAGGCTGAAGTTCCCATAGCCCTTGTACCAGCCTCCAGTGCAGCCCCTCATGGGCCCAGTGGAAACCTGGCCTAAAAGTGAACAGTTACAAGACTCTGGGAGAGGTCAGTTTCCTCCTCTTTGTACAGAGAATATCTGCCGTAGCTGATGTCTGAGCAATATTTGAGAATCAGAATCTATCTTGAGTCCAGGAGAGGTCCTTGTTGGGTCAGTGGCAAGGGCTTCTTAGACAACCCTAGAGGGAAGATGGGCTGGTGGATCAGGATCTTGCCCCGGCATACACCCGCTTCTCCCATCATGCCTTGCAAATGTCATTGTCTCTCATTCTGTAGGACTCTGGCTCAGAAGTAAAGAGGTCCCTTCAGCCAGCCTCCCACCTGGGGCCTCTGAAGAGTAGTGAGATTTGTTAACAAAGGTCTTGGCAGTCTCAAAAATGATTCCAGGAATGATGAAGCTTCCTGACTTGAGATGTGTATTTCCAGGGGGTCGCTGGGTTCTGACCACACCTGTGGCTTTCCCTTGTAACAGCCATAACATCTGAAGGTTCTCCTGCTTTGGGGGGTCACAGAGCCCACAGGGAACAGAGCCTGGAACTGACCTGTCAATATGTGTTGTGAGTCTGTGGTCCTGTAGAGCTTCTGTTCTCCTTCGTTGGTCAGAATGAACCTGTCATATCCATGTTGTGAGACACACTGGAGGGTCACATTCATTCCTGAGGTCACCACAGGGCTGGGCAGGCCTGACAGGCTCGGTTTACTGTTGTAGATGGCTAGGATGGAAGGAAGCAATGTGTTAAAAGGACTCATACTGCCCCCATTGTTTGGTAGGGCTGGTATGAGAGAGAGAACCATTGACATTAGATCCCTTTTCCTCAGAGCAGAGGCTGGAGGTGGGGACCCCTAAGTGTCCCCTCACTTGTCACCACCAGCTCCATGGTGTCACTGCACTGAGACCAGCCAGTAGGGCTGCCATAGTAACAACAATATCGCTCTGCATTTTGTTCTGTCATAGATTGAATGGAGAACTCGGCCTTGTTTCTTGGCTTCAGTGGGGTCTGTGTTTCCCTGAGTACTGGGTCTTCCTCTTTATGCAGAATATATTTTTGGGGCATCTACAGTCCCCTGACACAAGATGGTCATTTCTCATTTTGCAGGACATATTTTGTGCATCCAGGGTCCCCTGACATCAGATGGTCACAGGACTTCCTGAGGTGACCAGAGAACCTGGCTCAGCCCAGATGACGGGTTTTCGGGGGTCCCTAAAAGAAAGCAGGTGAGTCTGTTTAAACAGTGGAACAGAGAAAAGATCAAACTTAGAGATGGCATTTCAGCTGGCCCCTGAACAGCTCTAGGACTAGTGAAGCCATGTGACTCTCATCCCTCTCCTTGACCTCTCCTTGACTCCCATATTTTACTCTCGCTCTCTGCCTAGGCCTCTGTAAATCAGGTCCCCAGTGTCTGTCATAGTCTCTATCACTGGGTTCAGGAGCCCTGGATCCATTCACCCATCACAAACCAGGGCCTCACTTGGAACCTATGTAGGTTCAGTTTCACTGAAGGGAAAGGCTTACATACCTGAGACCACCAGCTCCAGGGGCTCACTAGGTTCTGATCATATCTGTGGGCTCCTGAGGTAATAGCCATAGCATCTGAGACTCCACCTCTGACTGGGGATCACAGGGCCCCAAGAGAAAAAAGCCTGGTACTTTCCAGTGGATATATACTGTGGGTTCGGGGTCCAGGAGAGCTTCTGTCATCCTTCCTTCCTTATTCAGCACAAATCTGTCATATAGATTCTCTGAGACACACTGGAGGATGATGTTCCCTCCTGAGGCTACTGCAGGGCTGTGCAGTGTGGAGAGGGTGGGATTGCTGTAGAAGAATCCTAGGACAGGAGACCGCCTGTTAAAAGGGTTCATACACCCCACACTGTCCTCTAGTGCTGGGGTGTGAAAGGGGGACACATCTGAGGGCAGACTTTTTTGTGCAGAGATCCTGGGCCTTTGATGCTGAGTATCCTCTTACCAGCTCCGGAGGATCACTGTACTCTGACCAGCCATCAGGAGTCTTATAGGAACAGTGATATCACCCTGCATGGTACTGCACAGTGTATAGGGTGGGAAACTCAGTCCTGTTTCCAGGCTGCCCTGGGATCTGTCTGCGCCACAGATCTGAAGCTCCCTCTTTATAGAAATGATATTCCATAGCATCTTGTTTTCCTTCGCATGACACGATCACCTGCATTGCTTTGGCAACCACAGAGCCTGGCGCAGCCCTGAGTGTGGGCTTGGGGAGTCTCTCTGCAAGGAAACAGAGACTGGGTCACAGGACACCCTCCCTCAGATCCAGCCCTCAGCCTGGGGACCCTCTTCAGTTTCCCCAGTATCAGCCACAGCTGCTGCTTTCTGCCTCCAATGCCCAGAGGTGACCCCTTGTGCTCAGTGATGAGGACTTACCTACGACAGCTGGGGTCATACTCACCTGCAAGCACTGGTGCCCTGAGATCCAGACTCAGTCCTCAGAGTTCCCTGTGAGAGGTCTGCC